CAATATTGAATTAATAAGGATTCAAAGTTTGTTTTTATTGTATTTATAATAAAAGAGATGAATGAAATATTTAAAGCCATCACATTTAACACTGTTTACTTAATTTGACAGTTTCATTCTGTGAGACTTCTAGAGGTCAGCGTCACTGTGACAAGCACCCACATAAATCAGTTAATGAGAAAAACATGTTATACCAAAACATCCACTGTGTTTATATTTCATACTTGTTGAGCTTTGAAGATAATTACAGCCATACACAGAGTGCAAATGACTTTATTTTTATTACTCCTATCTGGATTTCATTTATAAATACGTTTGCCATTAACAACGTCTTTCTCAGACAGTCATTTATTGATAATGAGAGACACATTATGAGATCGTGCTGGAATATTGAACTTGTTCACTAGCAGTTGTGCCATCCAACAAACGCCAGAGAGTTTATAAAGATTAGCAATTTTTTTAAATCTTAGATGCAGTCAATGCATTGATATTGCACATTTCCGTTTCAATCCACACATGCAAAAATTGGTGCATTTCACAGGCAAAATAAACACCTATAAAAATGAATGAGCTCACCGTGGTCAGTAACAAAGCCCCGTTTTCCCCTGCACTTTTGGTTTCTGTCAGTAGGACAGACCCCATTAACTAACCAACCCCCATATCCCACAATTCTACTCCCTTGGGCACCAGAGCACACCTGTGAGCCATTTCCCCATTGAGGTTCTGAGAGCTCAAATGTCCCTCTGGCTTCAAAGGAGCACAAGATGTGGACAGCATAATCACATTCAGTAAGCCTGCGGTTCATTCACTGACCTACAGTGAGGCGAAAAGTCCTGTAAGGACTTCTGTGAGGATAATGCGCTGGAAAAGACTATTTCCAGAGTGACCAATGACCTGGACAGCCATTGTGGTTTTCAAGCGTGGATGGCTATGAGAACCAGGCAAACACACACCGGGGTCACAATGCTTCAATGTCCTCGCAAGGAAGCACTTCCTCTTGATTGAGGGGGGCAACAATGTAAACTCACTCAGGGGCGATGACCTCCAAACTTATAGATTTTCCTGCAATTCTCAACTGGCAATGACCCTGGACCTTAGCCATGGGTTAAGATCAGTTAGGGACAATCAATCAACACCAACACCAAAACAGAAGGACATGTTGGAACAGTTGCTTTATGAAATTTATGACGCAGATGCTCATCAAGTGGAGATGGTGGCGTGAACTCAAACTCAGGGGAACCAAGAAGGTTTCCAAAGGTCTGAAAAGCAAAAACAGTTGGCAGAGATCATCTACAGGTCAGAGAACAACTGATCATGTGGTTTACTTTAGACCATTATACTGGTTCCTAAAAGATTGGTTTCCGAAGGCCTGGAATATAATGGAGAAGTCATATGGACCAATTTGAGGGTGTTTTTTTTTTCTTTTTGATTTCCTTGGTTTCTCTCAAAAGCTTGAAGATAAGATTTTTTAGATGTTTCTGAAAAAGGCCTCTTGTGCTCACCTAGGCTGCATTTATTTGATCAAAAATGCATCCAAGAAAAAAAGTAATATTGTGAAAAATTATTACATTTTGAAATTACCATTTTCCATATTGAAATGTAGTTTATTCCTGTGATGGCAAAGCTGAATTTCCAGCAGATATTACTCATCTTCAGTGTCACAGTTGACATGATCCTTCAGAAAACATTCATATATGCTAATCTGCTGATCAAGAATCATTTCTTATTATTAATATCAATGTTAAAAACAGTTGTGCTTCTTAATACTTTTGTGGAAAGCATGGTACATATTTTTCCGGATTCTGTCTTCAGTGTCACAGTTGACATGATCCTTCAGAAAACATTCATATATGCTAATCTGCTGATCAAGAAGCATTTCTTATTATTAATATCAATGTTAAAAACAGTTGTGCTTCTTAATACTTTTGTGGAAAGCATGGTACATATTTTTCCGGATTCTCTAATGAATAGAAAGTTAAAAATACATTTTATTTGAAATGCTGTCTATGCCTTTGCTGGTTTTATTCATTTAATGCATCCTTGCTAAATAAAAATATTAATTTACTGACATCAAACTTTTGAACAGTATGGTATATTTATGTTTTATGGAAAAAAAGCAACTTGGAAATTCTGTGAAACACTCAACCTTCAATGTTCCAGGGAAGAAAGAAAGTCATACAGTCTTGCAACAGCATGAGGGTGAATAAATAATACTGTAATTTTCATTTATAGTAACTATTCCTTTAAAGATTAAACATACTGCAAACAATATTAATAATCACCACACATGACCCCTAAATATAAAGACAAAAAAACAATAATCGGAAAGACCCAGGCCTGACTCAAGGCGTCTTTCCATCTCCAGCATTCCAAAGCTAAACATTTGCTTCCTTCTGCTGTAGAGACAGGTTGTCCTGGTCCTCACATCAGGCATTTATCACCATGTCAGTGTGGGTTACGAGGCCAGGAGCCAAGACTCCTCTGGCCCCAGATTACTCTTCCGTATGGGATTGAGCCAGAGCGTTGGGCCTGCACCACAGCGCTCCACAAAGACAAATCAGAACAGGGGAAAAGGCAACAACAAAGAGCTCTCACTATGGTCTGGCATTGCAAACGTCTCCACAGACAGTCTGTACCCTAAACTGGAGCAGTAACAGATATTTATTCACAAACTGAAAGGTCTTTTACTCCATGCTTTTGAAAAGAGCTCAACACAGCGCGCATGTGCCTTAGCGACACAATACACGCATCTGACAGCCATGAGATGAGCAGAGGAGTCCGGAAATAAATGCAAAACAAGCATGACCAGACATTTAATCTAGTTTTAATGTGTGTTCACATACACTCACAGATCGGCGTTATATTGGACTGACTGCTCAAACCACAAAAAGCAACAAATTATTAGGCTTTCGTAAGGTAATGACACAACAGCACCATATTACAATTTCCAGCTTTTGTAACGCAATGAAAACAATTCTACAAGTGAAACAAAGAGAGATAAACAGCAAAAGAAACACATTTCTGCATAAACCAGCCATATGAAGTGTAAAAACTACATAATTGCATTCATAAATATCACACAAGAGTCAAGACATATGGACATAAGGAAATGTGTGATGCTGCCCCACATTTCCATTCTGAGCGCACACATCTATAATAAGCAAGAGCAGAGAAAGAGAAACCACCAGAACAGTTATTTCTACTTCATTAACTACTTCCAAATTACAAATCTCTCTTTACACCTTATTAGCATCACTGTTCGACTAAACAATGAAGCTAAAGTCCTACAGATTGTTTCTTAAATAAGCTCACTTGGTTTTGTTTGCGATTACAGTGAACGTCCCCATAGGAGATGCTGTTCATACAACAGCCAGAGCAAACCTCGAAAGTTACACGAAGGCTAAACCAAGTCTCAAGGGTCTTCAGATGCCCCATAAGGTTACCTTAAGGGTCTTCAAATGTTACAGTTCCACAAGATTAATCTATCTAGCATCCATCCATCTACCTATAAGATCATCTAATCAACTAAGAAAGTTGTGGAACTGTGAGTAAAGGTTTGCATGTCTTCCACTTGCCTTCATAAGGCAAACATTAAAAGTAATGCTTATTCATTTTGTGCAAATAATCTTAAAGACAAAAAAGGTTGGGGGTTGCTATCACCAGCAGAGGGAGCATGGGTAATCAATCAGAAATACTGAAAAAATTAAAAAAGACAAATGCAAACCTTCAGCTGTCTGAGGCTGGCATGGTACCTCTGACATTTCTGAGTGACTATCGCACTCATGCATTGCTTCATATTTGTCCAAATTATGAACTACAACCAACCAGAATATGACTCAACCTCAATCTGAAATCAAAGTCAACCACAACTAAGGCTGTGTCTGAAAACCTAGTGAGCTGCCTACATTTTAAAGTACTGAAGGCACATATAGTGCTCCAAAAAGCTGCATATGCACCTATGATGCCCAAAAATTGACAGCATGTGGTTTTGAGGCACAGCCATGAAGAGATAGTTCATCCAAAAATGTAAAATCTGTCATCATTTACACACCCTCGCGTCATTCCAAACCTGTGCGGCTGGAAAGATGTCAATCTCAATCACTGTTCACTTTCATTTTGCATACAGCGAAAGTGATTAAGGCTGTCAGTCACTAACATTCTGTCCAAAATCTCCACCGAAAAAAAAGAAAGTCAAAAAGGTTTAGGTGAGTAAATGATGACATAATTCATTTTGGGGTGAACTAACCCTGTAAGTGACCTCGGCATGCTCTCTGGAGAACAAAACCAGCTTTTTCGGCTGTTGATGAATCGATTTTACCCCTCACAGAGAACAAAAAAATGCTAAGACAGTAAAAACTCTGCTATGGATTCACTATATTCTCCATAAAGCATTCCTGCACAAGGATTAGTCACCTTAACACTGCAGTGTATTAGTTAGTCTAAATCACACCAAATCATTACAACATATTGTGCAGCATCAATAGAATAACAAGTCACATAATAGTGAAACGAGGAATTAGTAAACGCAATTCCCCTCAAGTCTTATCTGTGCACTGCCTGTTTGCTTCACATCCACTTTCTGTTTTGTATAGGCTATTCCCAACCTAAATAGATCCATAATCTAATATATGTTATAAGCATGCAGAATACACAACAATCTATTATAAAACTGTGGTATTTTGTACTAATAGCCTATAAGAATAACCATTAAGTGAATAGACAGCATTACACAATGAAACAGAGGGAGGCTTGCGGTTTCAAATACATTTTAGTCAAAATCCACAATAAACCTGGACGGATTCAACAACTACCTGATAGCACATCAAGCTAAGATTTCATAAATAATACAAATTTAACAAATGCATCCTTTCTGACACAAGTAACATATTGGTAATGGACCTCAGGACCCGACGGTCTCTCTGCGGAGAGAGTGAATAATGTTAGTCAATTATGTGCAGGTCTGACATTAATTTCACCCTCGTAAGGGCTGTAGATCTTACCTTCGTATACAGGGGCCATCGGTGCAAGGATTTCTGTTATTCATGGCAAAAAATGAAGCGACAGCACTGTTCACAACTCAATAAAAATCTGCCATCTTGAGCCGCGGACAGAATCGCTGCTGTCTCCTGCATTACTAACCCAGTTCATCAGGGAGAGAAAAAGGATAAAAGGATGAAAAACCACATCCAGAATTTCAATTTGATAATCGGCCCGGGGTGCGTGATGAAAAAGGGATGTCTGCAACTTAACTCCACGGGTATCGATGGTGTTTTGGCTCTAAAAAAGAGCCAAATTGCAGGTCTTGGCTTCAGCTGGTGATCATGTCTGTGGAGTGAGTGCCTGCAAAAGTTGCAATGAGAGAAACGAGCGAGCGAACGAAGCGACTTTGCGTTGTAATCAAACGACGAGGTAACCGATCATGTTGAACTGGGCCTCTAAATCAAACGACGATCTACTCGATCTGGCTCACTACTGTTCTGCAAACAGCTAACGTACGTTAGTTCTGTCAAAATACTATTGATAATACATTTATTACTTCCTTACTGCCATGTCACCATGGTGTAGTGAGGGTGTTATATGTTAATGAAATATTACCATGGCATATGCATCCAAGGAATTTTAAAGATTATCATTATAGTAGGTTACATGTCAAAAAACTTGCCTTGATACCATGCATGCCCACATCATTTAAGTTTTAGTGGTTCCACTGTAAACAATGATAAATAAATTATAAAGAATATTTAAGAAAATTGAACAATATTTCTCTTTTTAAAGTTTTATTATAGTAACAATAACGTTTTTAATTATAATTATTTTAAAGGGTAGGATCTGATTATTGCATTAAACATTGTGATCATATCCATCATATTCAAGTCCATCAGAACGGGATTACAGAGATTAAGCCAGAATCTCTTATACATCAACTGGATATCCATTTGAATACATTGGACATGTTATTTTAAAAAAATTACAATAGATGAGTGATAGATTCATCAGAAAAACCAAATCTGTTTTTTCCATAGTTGATGAGAGTATAAAATTGTTAATTTTGCTTGGGAAATTTCATCTGCATAAAGTAACATTTATCAAACCGTGTTTTAGAAAAAAAAAATTTCATAGATTTTAAAATTATGACTGACGTAACAGTGTAGGAAGTGGAACATATTGAAAAGAGTGCTCTGTTTAACATAGCATTAGATGAAGTTGTATGTATCATAGCATATACACATACAGTACATATTAGGCTATAGCATATCATTGTATATTAATAAAAAATTCAAAAAGTAGATTACATACAGCTGTTATCCAGTGCCAAACACATTAAAACAGTAATCTTCAAGAGGTCATGCATCTTTTCTTCACAAAACAATGCTTTATAATACAAGACAACAATATACTGTAGCTCCTATCTATAGTAAACAAACAAGCTGACACAAAATATTAAATAGTAGGATATTACTTTATTATTATTATTATTATTAGGTCTACCATATTCAAATAAAGAACTGTAGGCTACAATCCTTGTGTGTGGTCCCCCAGCTAGCGAGCAGTGCAAACTACAAGTACCACAAGTCATTGCGTGGGAATTTTTTTTTTCCCAGCCGCATAAAAACTACATTTTCCAGAACGCCTCAGTGTCATCGCAAGCGGTTGCTGTCAAACACGGTAAGCGCATTGTTTATATCATTTACTACTGGTATAATCTAAACCTTTCATAACATTGTAACCTCACAGATTTACTCAAGCAACAGCAAACATTATTAGCAGAGTGCATGATGATCGCTGCTCTTTCTTTTAATTACGTAAACCGTTGTAGGATTCTATTACAAAACAATAGGGGAAAGGTGACATGACATGATAAATATCTAGTTAAACAGAATGAAATCCTTCATGAAGATGGAAACACTACTCCGTGACACTTGACCCATTCACCTCACCCACATTTTCAGTTATTAAGTTAAATACAAAATCTAAATGGTTAACCAGCTCACAAGCTGCAACGATCAAGAACAACTGTAAAAAGAAATAAAGAGTTATACAAACTTTAAAACTATAAGAGCTATTTAAAAAAATATATTTTTTTTTACAGCCCTGTTTTATATGAGGAACAGAAACTACATTTTGTTAACAGTTAAGTTGGAAGTTCTTGGCTTTAGCAATCATGTTAGTGAAGCTGTCTGTGAGCATGCCTGACATTATATTATCAATAACTGTTAGTCTGAGAGCATGTAAGGACATCTAGCTGTGTGCAAAAGGACCAATCACATACAATTTCGCAATAATGCAAGATAAACTTTTAACAGATAATGCTGACACTATGCATGATTCTCAGTGATTCTTATACTTTAATATATAAATCAGAATATGAGTTTAGACAAATATCACATGCTTACTTGATCACACAAATCAGAACTATAAAAAATAATAATCACCTCAAAGAATATATTAGCCTGCCTAACATTATTTGAGTGAAAAGTTCGTCACATAATCAAACAAACAAATCAATCAATAAAAATGTAAACAAATGAACAGACACAATTTTTTTTATAGGCCTACAAAGAATTTTTTTTCAAAGATGACTTCTTACAAGTCATTCTACAAATATTCGATTTGGCAGTGCATTAATTTCTGTTACATCTGTGCATACTACTGTATGTGATTGTGAAACTTCTCCGAAATTCAAGTTAAAGGGGTGGTTGACTGCGATTTCACTTTTTTAACGTTAGTTAGTGTGTAATGTTGCTGTTTGAGCATAAACAATATCTGCAAAGTTACGAAGCTGAAAGTTCAATGCAAACGGAGATATCGTCTTTTAAACTTCTGGCAGTTTAATGCCTACAAAAACGGCTGGTAGGGTCTACAGCATGTTACTTCCCGGGTTCGTGACATCACAAACCCAGATAAACCCCGCCCTCGGGAAAAGGCAGCAAAGGGGGCGAGGCCATGCTGTGCTGCTTTAGAGAAGAGGAAGAGAAAACTAGAGGTGCAAGTAAAAATCTATTCATAAATGAATCGCAATTCTGTCTTCTAACGATTCTAATGGATTCACAAGTTTCAAAATCAATGTTCTAAAGCAGCAGTTCTTAATACTGTTCCTCGCGTCCCCCTGCTCTGCACACGCTCTGCATCTCTCTCTCTCTCTCTCTC